ATAAAACAGACTGTTGTACTTTGGCCACATCACAAGAAGGCATGACTCATTGGAGAAAAAAAACCCCCAATAATGCTAGGAAAGGTGGAGGGAAGTAGAAAGAGAGGAAGGCCACATGCTAGATGGATGGACTCTTAAGGAGGTTACGGATATGAATTTGCAGGAACTGAGCAGAGCAGTGGAGGAAAGGGAGTCCTGGAATGCGTCTCATCCACAGCGTCGCCATGGGTAGAGATCAAGTCAAGGATGGTTAACAACAACAAAAACCACTTGAACTGAGGACAGCTATGTCTAGACAAAATGCAGGCTTGTCACTAACATCATCATAATCCCCCTCCATCCATATTTTTAACACCATTGCCTGATGAGGCCGCCAGTGGAGCTTCGAAAGCTTGCAACATGTGTTTTGTACATTTTGATTGGTATCACTCTTTTGTAGATTTTGGATGATACTGTACTTTGCTAAAGGAAAAATTAGCATATAGAGAGATCTTGTAGTCCCTTTGAGACTATCTGAAAGAAAGAAGTTGGTAACATGAGCTTTTGTAGACTTAAGGTTCAGAACACACTGCAGAAACAATCCAGTTTGAGACTGCTTTAACTGCCCTGGTTCAATGCTAGGGAATCCTGGAGACTGTAGTTTTGTGACACATTTAGCCTTCTCAGAGATCTCTGATGCCACAATAAACTACAGTTCCCAGGATTCCTTAGCACTGAGCCAGGGCAGTTAAAGTGGTCTCAAACTGGATTATTTCTGAAGTGTTTTTGGACCTTAAATCTACAAAAGCTCATGTTGCCAACTTCATTCTTTCAGGTAGTCTCAAAGGTGCGAGAAGATCTCTCTACATACTAACTTTAGTCCAAATGCTTAAAAGTTTACAAGCTGAGACAAAAAATGCATCTGAGGAAGTAGATTTAAGTCTAGGAAAGCTCGTGCTGCCAACTTCTTTCTTCCAGTGAGTCTCAAAGGGGCTACAAGATGTCTGTACATACAGACTAACAGATTTTGCAGACTAACACGGCTATATCTTTGAAAGGAAAAGTTAGTTCACCTTACATTCTTTTTAGGTTTTTCTAAATGTGTATAATTCTAGTGATGAAGTTTTAGACAAATACTGTAGTGTTTATTTAATGTTGTATTCTTTTATTTGAAGGAAGGGGCCCTTATAGCTTGCTGTGGGGGATACATGTTTTTTGAATCTTGAATGGTTGTGTTTAGGTTTCATGTGGGAAGAAGGCTGACATACTAAAAGGGACGTGAAGGCTGACATACTAAAAGGGACGTACTAAAGCAAATGGCAGTTCTTGCTCATAGGGACATCATATATGCCCATAGAGAATCATTGCAGAATACTTCCCCATAAAAAAAGCATAGGTGACACATAGCTATTAACCTATGAAACCCTATGGGCAAGTATTCTGATAGGATTCGCATGGGCAGGTTTTCCCCTATGTTTCCCTAAGGCCCATGGTGTCATCCAATGTTTCCCTATGGCCAGATGTTCCCCAAGGTATCCCCATACACATATTCTCCTAGGTTTCCCAATGGGCAAGTATTTCCCCACTTACCTTTATAGGTAAGGCTTCTCCAATGTTTCCCTATGGGCATGTAATTCCCAATGTTTCTCTATGAGTGGGCAAATTTTCTCCTATTTTTCCCAATGGGCAAGTATTCCCCAATGTTTCCCTACGGGCAAGTATTCTCCTATGTTTCCCTATGGGCAAGTATTCCCCAATGTTTCCCTATGGGCAAGTTCTGTATTCTCCTATGTTTCCCTATGGACAAGTATTCCCCAATGTTTCCTTATGGGCAAGTATTCTCCTATGCTTCCTTATGGGCAAGCATGGTTTCCCTATGGGCAAGTACATACTGTCATTTGTTTCTAGTACGTGCCAGGAGGAAGGCTGAGAATTAACCTGCAAACCCTGAGCCAGGAGGAGGAGCACTGGGCCTGACTGACTGACTGACAGAACCAAACGGCTCCACTCGCTTCAGGGTGACGTCACGTGACGTCACGCGGCCCTTTTGTTGCGGGTGACGAAGCCTCTTTGTGCCAAGGAAGGAACAAGGGAGGCGGCGCCATGATGACATCACTCCCTGGGGCTTCATGACATCATTGCCTCACGGCCGGGCCTCGCCTTAACACCATGACGTCACCCAGCCCAGGACGGAAGTGACCCTCACGGAAGGAGAGGAACAGCCCCTACTCCCTCCTTCCTCATCCCAAAGCGAACTGGAGGGACTATGTTCCCCTCCTCTTCCGGCGGAGGAATTTTCTTGCTTCCATCCTCGCGAGAGGCGGAGGGATTTGACGCTGTGGGCGGAGTTGCGTGCCGTGCGCAGACTGGAAGGGGATCCGGCAGAGACAGCCAGAGAGAGAGAGACAGGGAGAGAGAGGGAGAGTCGGGGGCCAGCACTAAAAGGAGAAGCGGGGAGGGGGCGCCAAGGACGACGCGACCCAAGCGAACCCCC